AGCCTCACTGGCCGGAGCCCCAAATCCTTAAACTGCACTCTTGATATGGAAACAATATATCAGTGAAGAAATCCTACCCACTGCACCTTTCCACCACTAATATCTTTACATGGTGCATGTCATTTCTTTTTCGTGTTTTTGCAATGCCTCCGACGCTGTATGTGTGCAGATTTCCCACGCAAAGAAAAACACTCGGTTGTCGCTCGACTATGAATAACTAAGCTAAACAAACATTTTTATGAGCAGCACAGAATCTCTGCGTGTGAAACCCCTGTGCTTGAATGCTCTGTTTGTTTTCACTCTATAGTCTTTTTCCAGTGTCAAAGTTGGTCGGTCTTATGAATTAACTCTTACGCCTGCACTGTCTTGCTCACTCGCATACAAACAAACGTCCACCCACACACACTAACTCTTTCTCTCAGATTCTTGTCTCTCAAGTAAATGCATCCGTCTTGTACTACTTTTGTCCAAACTAATTTTCTTGCCTTTTCTGCTCATATTTGCTTTCTAACTTCTTTCTAACTACAGTATGTGAACCTTTTGCTGCATGATTCTCTTTCTCTCTGTTTTTCTCTGTTTCCTGCTCTGTGATTGGCTGTTGATGGTTAGGATGAGGCCATGTGCCGAAGGAGCGCAGGCTCCCCATTGGCTTCCTCTCTTCTCATGTTACTGCTGCCACTGTTCATGTGCTGTCTCGGGTCAGTCCCATAACGCTAGCTCTTTCTCTTTCATTAACAATATATCATTATCTTACACTCAATCTCACTGTCTTTGGCTCATTAACTGTTGCACACTTTCTCCTGATGTTTCTGTTCTCTGTTTGTTTTTCTCAGCTTATCTCCACGCGTCTTTTTTGCTTCTGCTTTGTTCCACTACTTCATGTCTTTTTTGATTGTTTTCCTACCCTTATCTTTCTCACCTGTCACTCTTTCTTATGTTCTACCACCATCTGTCTTCACCTCCCCCCAACTCACCTCCCAGTCTCCTTCCGTCTCTCGCCAACATTTTCTCCGTCTCACCTGACTTTGAACTTAAAGCCATGCTCTTTGTATCTTTCCCCATTTATCATTATCCGTCTTAGGCAATAGACTCCAGTGTCTATCTCTGCTGACATCTGATTACTGATGTATCCAGACGTTAGCTAAAACAGACCACTCACTTCTCATTTGCATCCAGACTTTTGTACGTCTCTTTTAATGATTCTCAACTTTTTTTCACTCCGAAAACAAATCAAGGCAAGACGTTCTTTCCCTTTTACCTCTCCAGATGCTAAACATACTGAGAGTTCGAGTATCCAATCAGACGTAATGGCTCAAAGTTTTCCAGTCAAGTATAAAAAAGACATTTTGAAGCTTTTTTATATTTTCTGACCTCTTGTTTGGTTCCTGTGGTAGTAGTAGTAGTAGTAGT